CAACAACTGATTTTCCTGGGCAAGAATCAGGCCGTCTGACAAACAGTGCAGCTCCTGCAACGCACCCAATTACCTTTTCGCCACTCGATGCAGTGGCCGTTTGGTCTCGTTCGCAGTTTTGAGGGTGGAGGGAACCCCTTTGACTGGCATCATTGCACTTCACTTGTGCGCTCTGGTGGCGAACTCAGGCCCGTTGTCAGTCTAGGCCCACAGCAAGTTTACAGCCAAATTTTCTCACCTTTCTCACCTTAGCGAGGCGTGGTGCAGAACCAGAACATTGTTGGAGTCGTTTGATTGACTCTGCTTCATTCAAAAATGTTCGGCTGATTCTACATGCACCATTTTGTTTTGTGAATCTCAAAGATCATCTTACGATCGAGCCACTTGCAGAGTAGCCCTTTCCACAGTTGCTGTGAAAGATTTGGCATTTTATTGCAAATCCTAGCGGCTTCTTGCACCGCATACTCTTGTGGTCGTTTTTGTTTCAATTGTCTGATGAGGGGCATGAGTGTTTTTGGCTTCGCACGTTGTCTGGGTGCTCGCTGGTGTTCTGCATGTTGTCGCTGCAGGTGTTCTTACCAGTGCTGTGCGGCTGTTGTGACAGGTTCACAGGTGCCATGTGATGGTGGCGAGGAACATGCAATACATTCGTTTTGTAAAATTTGAGCGGGTAATTGAATAGCACATTGCAAATTACATGGACAGAAAGGGAATTATTTTATGAGCTCAATTATTTTCTATTGTTAAATTTTGACATTATTGATTTTTTGGTGAGTAAATATCAAAATAGAAATTCAATTATGGGTGCTTAAAAAATTTACACTAAAAAAATTTTACAATGGATAATTATCGTTGTGATTAGATAAATTATAAATCTTTTTGTCGTCTTTTGGATAATATTGTCAAAAATATGTTTTCTAATTTGTTTGGATCCAGCTTTAATTTTTTTTTGTTTCGTAATGGAGGATCGTTTTTTTTTGAAACAATTTTTTTTGGCACCTTGTAAAACTCCATAGCACTTTTGTGAACCTCCATGCACATTCCGTGGCAGGTGCAGCACTTTGTCAACCTCCACATGCATATTTTGTGGTAGGCACAGCACTTTGTGCATCTCCATGTGCAGATGCCGTGGCACGCGCAACACAAAATTTGTTGTGGAGAGATAGCGAACGCACGAAATGCTGTATTTTCAATGGAACCGGTGGCTCCGAAGCTGGCGTCTGCGGAACGACGGGTGCGAGACAGAAATTTCCTGAAAGAAGAAATTGACCTATAGGAGTGTCCACGTTCTCTCCACCATGTGCGTCCCTTCTGTCACTCACTGAGCCAAACGCATGGGCTTCGGACTTTTGACACACACACACACACCCACCCACACAGCGCCACCTTTGCAAGGTCTGTGCTCCTGCAGGATTAGCAGCTCACAGCAGCGCACTGGGTTTTGTCCATGCCAAAGCAAAATCACTGGCCCACACCGGCGTGCTGAACATGCGGCAACCCAATCCGACTGGAACCCAACCAAAAAAAGATGCCCGTGTCCCTTGTCAGCCGCACGCCCTCCCGACTTTTTGACCACAGTGCCATCTGGGCAAGGTCTGTGCTGTGATAAGTGGTGTATGAGGCGTAGTGATGATGAGTGGTTTATGAGTCGCCAGTTCTCATCTTCCAGCTTGCCAGATGCTCCGCGTGCTGAAGTTGCACTGCAAAGTCGCCAGTTCTCAGCTTCCGCCCACTCCAGTTGTACAAGACAATCGCCAGTTCTCATCATCCAGCTTCAGGGTTGGTCCGTTTCGGTTGGTCAAAAAAGTCCATGCAAAGTCACCAGTTCTCACCCTGCAGCTCGCCGGATGCTGTGCCTGCCACGAAATCTGCACATGGAGGTTCCCAAAGCACTGTGCCTGCCACGAAATCTACATGGAGGTTCACAAAGAGCTGTGCCTGGGACCACACATGGAGGTGCACAAAGTGCTGTGCCTGCCACAAAATCTGCACAGGGTGGTCCGCAAAGTGCTGCGCATGCCATGAAATGCACATGGGGGTTCCCAAAGCGCTGTGCCTGCCAGAAAATCTGCACATAGAGGGTCCTGCACCTGCGAAGAAATCTGCACATGGACCTGCACAAAGCGCTGTGCCTGCCAGGAAATCTGCACATTGGAGGTTCACAAAGTGCTGCACCTGCCACGAAATCTGCACATGGGCATTCCCAAAATGCTGTGCCTGCCATGGAGGTGCACAGAGGCACACAAAGTCTGCACCTGCCACAAAATCTGCAGATGGAGGTACGAAATCTTCACTTCAAGGAACAAGTGAAAGCTTCAATCCGAATGGACAGACGATTCCCAGCACGATCACAGAATGATCCGAGACTGTCTCGTATTCACCTTTTCGCGAATCAACCAGAAGAAGATAAACACAATAACCCCGAGCCTAAATAACAAATCAAGGAAAAGGCCCGTTATTCCACCAATTGTATATTTTTTTAATTTCTATCTTTTCAATATCTTTTCCACAATCTATTTGGAAATTATTCTTAATTAAATGTCGTAATCCTTTCCATAATCCTCATTATATTATTTATTCGAATCTGCACCTGCCACGAAATCTTCACTTCAAGACAAAAATGAAATCTCCAATTCCAATGATGCTCCGAGAATGATCGAATGATCCCCACCCGTCTTTCCGCAGACCTTGACTTGCCAGCTTCGAAGCCATCGGTTCCGTTGAAAAATACAGCATTTCGTGCATTCGCTATCTCTGCACATGGAGGTTCACAAAGTGCTGGACCTGCCACGCAATCTGCACATGGAGATCCACAAAGTGCTGCACCTGCCACCAAATCTGCACATGGAGATCCACAAAGTGCTGCACCTGCCACGAAATCTGCACATGGAGATCCACAAAGTGCTGCACCTGCCACGAAATAGAAACAAGTGAAAACTCTAATCCCGAACATGATCCGAGAATGATCTGAGAATGATCCGAGACCGTCTCGCACCCGTCGTTCCGCAGACCTTGACTTGCTAGCTTCGGAGCGGTGATTGAACAGCGATTGAATATCCGTAACACGGAAGTTTTGCACACTAAACTTCCTTTGATCAATATTAATTCATTCAATAAAATATATAAATATATTATCCTCGTAAACAACGATAATATATTTATATTTTCCATTTTTTTTACGAGAATTTTACGCCAAAAAAAGCATAACCATTAAATATATTATAGACACATAAAATATATTATTGTCCCACTATTACTTGAGCAGGCAAAAGGTAGAAATGGACCGGGTGGTTGTCGGGACCTTTTCTGGTGAAGGATTGGCTCTGGATTTTTGAATACGTATCGCATGGTCAATTATGATTGAAGCCAATAAAGCCAGAGAGTATAAGAAGCCTCAAGAGGAACACCGTTGGGTCAGATTGCGCCATACGGCTCTGCAGGGAGGCTGCGTTGCGTCGATACTCGTTTGTGTGAAGGTGTGTGAAAACAGGCGCACATAAAAATCGCAATATGTAAACATTCGTATATGTACCAATTATAGTCTCATATTGCAATATTATCCGGCCTGCACGTCGCAATGACCAATCCCCATGTAAAGATAGTGTTGGAAGGGTGCGACCGATATTGCCAAGAATAAACGTACTCCACGACCCAGAAAGATTTCGCCACGTTAGGATATAAACCACGACGCGAGGGATTTCTCCATAAGGCTTTACAAAGAGGTTATATTATATCGATACTCATTAATATCGAATAATATAATCTATAAATGCAATATTATATTAAACTACTAAATACGTACGCAGACATCGAAACCAATTTGCGCGACCCCATTTCATGAAATTCGTGTTATATTATATAACCTCATAACCACGTCACATTGCTATATTTCCTAAGTGCATAACTTCACCTTATATCCAAAATGCTAATAATAATAATGACGAAAAAAAGAATAAAAAGAAAACAACAGAAAAAGAAAAAAAATCATCGAATCAATTAATTTATTAATAAATCATCCCATAATACGAAGAGAGCGAAAAAAAAAATAACGATATCGAATATTAATTTATTAATTTTTAATCCCGAGCAAATTTTCAATTCCGAACAAACTTTCAATCCAATCCCTTTGTTTCGCAAAAACAAACTCAAAATAGTCCTTATCAAACTACCTTTCGTAATTAATATATATATAAGAGACGGTCAAAACTCCTCATTCTTCTTCAACCAAAAAATAAACGTCATCGGTTTTAAAGTAGACCTTATCATTTTACAGCGTTTTGAGTTCGTCGCATACTTATAATTATATATAACGCTAGGATTATCGATTTTAAGGTGGATCTTATCGTTTTGCAGGGTTTTATGCATAAACCTAGCCCTTTTTACTAAAGTAGTCTTCGTATGTTTTTACCGTAGCTCATATATATATATTGAATAAAATCGTTCAACTAGCTTTATATATAGAAAAAAATCAATCAAATGATTCCAAAAACATTCTGCTTCTAAAGTAGTCACCAACACCACCAATAATATAATTGCCTAAAACAATTACTCCCACACCTATTATGACCACAGCAGCGACGATATGATTGTGATGGCTGCAATGATTGCTTGTCATAGCATTTTCGTTCCCAAATGGTTCAAGTTATTATGCTGGCAATCTGGCAATATAAGTGGGAACAGAAGGAAAAAAAGCGCAGATAGCAACAATGGTAGTGGTATTCGCCGCTACCTTGCCCATGCCACCCAGTTTAGCCGAGCTTGTCTAGGCTTTGTTAGTCCGGGCTGGCCCTTCTTGCTGCTCTACAATCGTTGTCCATGCATGCTATAAACGGACTTTGCATTGCCTTGAAAAGACCCGCTTCTTTCCCTTTTCCTTCCTCCTTCTTTTCGCCTCACAACGGCCCAGTTGGAGGCCACACAGTTCATTCAACCCTGCAAGAGTGTTCCAGTGCTGAAAGTCAGCGGAGCGGCTTGCTGCCTGGCTTTGTTGCAGAGTTGTGTTATAAGAGTTGTGCCGGATCAAAAAGGCCATTTACCTGAGAGTTGCGCTCTATTACCAGCGCAACAGCAAAGGCCAGATTCACAGTGGGCACTCCCAGAACTGAACAGTAAGGCACTATCGGGCCTCAACAGCAAGCGCCCACACAACCCACAACACAACCATGACATGAAAACAAATGATTGAAGTCATGGTGGGGAGCACTCGATTTTAGTTATTTTTTGATCTATTCGAATTCCTCCTTCGCACGTCCGGGACCGGTGGCGCCTTTGGCGCCTCTGGCCATCGGAAGTCGGGCGCCGACCAGTGCGTAGAAAGGGCCGCGTCCAAGTCAGACTCCAGTTGTGCCCTTAGGAAACAGCGTGGCACTCAGTGAAAGCGAGAAAGAACATGTTTATCTTTCAAGTCTTGGTATTTGTACTTCACTTGGTTTTTGGTTTAATGGGTGAACGTTGAACTTGGACTGTGCCGACTCCGGGTTCAAAGGATGACCTGTGCCAAGAACAATGGTATAATTGTACTGTATAATGTCACAGCTGAATAAGTTTTCCTGTGTTACCGGGTGAACACCGAGCTCTCAAAATACAATGATATCCTTTTTTCTACCTCATCTGTTTCTCATGAGGTAGTTCCAACATGCATTGGAGAGAGTTAAGGCCTTTGCAGTCAGTTTATTGCGACCATACACCACCAACAGCAAGTACTCTTCTATATGGTCTAAAACATGCCCATGTCCACTAAAAATGATTCTGAAGCGTCCCCAAAATCGTTCCTTTAAGCCCCCCTCCCGGGTGCTCGTTCCAAGGAGCCATTTCCCCTCGCTTCTAGAGCATGGATCGGGGTCCGAGGCGTCCGGTGGAAGCGGCGCGCACGGTGCCTGGGAGATGCCGGGTGGGTGGAACGGCAGGAGAGTCCTTGTTCCTAGTAGTACAGCTAGGAGCCCCTAGAAGCGTCCTTGTTCGTAGTAGTAAGGCAAGGTGCCCCTAGTAGCGTCCTTGCTCCTAGTTGCGATGCCAGGAGCCCCTAGTAGCGTCCTTGCTCCTAGTTGTGATGCCAGGAACTCCTAGTAGCGTCCTTGCTCCTAGTTGCGATGTCAGGAGCCCCTAGTTAGTGGCGTCCTTGCTCCTAGTTGTGATGCCAGGAACCCCTAGTAGCGTCCTTGCTCCTAGTAGCGAGGCCAGGAGCCCTAGTAGCGTCCTTGCTCCTAGTGGCAAGGCCAGGAGCCCCTAGTAGCGTCCTTGCTCCTAGTAGCGATGCCCTCCTAGTAGCAAGGCCAGGAGCCCCTAGTAGCGTCCTTGCTCCTAGTAGCGATGCCAGGAGCCCCTAGTAGCGTCTTCTTGTTCCTTCGATTCAATTTTTTTTGAATGAAATTGAATGAACGAGGTGCAGGCCGTCGCCATTAGATGCTACTCGGTTGGGGGTCATTGCTACTACTCAAATGACCCCGTCAAGGAATTGAGTATTCAGAGTCTATTGGACCTGGTGTCGCTCCGGAAGATGGACTAGGAGCAGACTCAAGAGTTCTTTAGTTTGGAATTCAAAATCAAAAGTTGGTCTCGTGTCATTCCAGTTCTCATGTGATTCTTCCCGCCTCCACAAGTTTGGGCAACTGGAAGAGAAGTAGTGGATGTTGAAGCTAACCAACAGGAAGAAAAAGGAGTCACCCTGGGTCCAAACCTACCTGAGCTCCTATTCACTGCAAAAAGATCTTTACCGATTGTCCCTCCAAAAGGTGCATGCCCCCATGCTCCTCGGAAACACCACGAAGTCAAGTTTGCTTGAAATGGTTTCCGTCTCCGAAATCTAGGGTATTTCGCGGTAAGCAGGTTGGGCTTTGCTTAAGAGATCCTTGTGATCTTTATGAAGATTAGTTATATTGACTATATTTTCATCTGTGCTTCTGATCACTGATTGTAATACAATTGCCACTACTCAGCCCAAAAACCCAAAAACAGGCACACAAAACATCCAGCGGCGTGTTGCTTGAGCTCGTCTAGTGGAGGTGCCCACCACATCGAACTGACACCTATCTCATCATCCCATTTCCACCAATCACACATCCCGTCCGAGCCCATCTCGCCCTATCCCATCCACTCCACATCAAACTAGAAGCTTCTTCTTACTAGTAGAAAGAATGCTCCTAGTAGCGATGCCAGCCCCAAGCAGCGTCCTTGCTCCTAGTAGCGATGCCCTTGTTACAAGCAACACATGCCCTTTGCTCTGCCCAGTGGCCCAAGGATCCACCAATTGGATGGTCGATTGCTCGTGGCCGTGATTGGGTGCACCGCGGGCCGTCTCGGCGGCGTTTTCGGCGCGCAGATCGATCAAGTCCTCGGAGAGTGGATGGTCCTGGTACGCTACTAGCTACTAGGGGCTCCTGGCCTTACTAGGAGCAAGAAGCTACTAGGAACAAAGGGCATCGCTACCAAGAGCAAGAGGCTAGTAGGGTGGACGCCATCTGACAATTCTTGTTATACATCCCATCTCACGAATTGTAGGGAATTTAGAGGGACCTCAGTGCGGTTAAGCTGAGAACATCAACACAAGTGGAACTGAATTCGAATGGTATGTGGTGTATGGTAGAATAGGGAGGAGAGACCCCAAGCACACACACACACACCGAAATATGGACTAAACTTAACGGGTATGCTAGAAGATTTTAATTTTCCGAATCTCCCACTGTTTCAACCCGCTTTCTTTCTGGGGTATGAAATGGTATGAATCCAAAGCCGTGATCGTGTGCATTGTTTACCACTCCACTCTCGTTTTTTGTGCGGACAGGCATCGGGCATGTCCTCTTTGGGCTTGGCCTTGGCTGTGCTTGGCATGTGAAACTAGGAGCCGCCGCGCCGTGTGAACGCACCCAAAAATTTGCGACTCAGCGACTCCGTCATGGTGGGGAATGAGGTGACTTGACCCACAGTGGTGTCTTGGCTTTCGAACACCCACTTACTTCCTGAGTCACCATCTCTTTTGTTTGACTTCCAAACGAGTTAGGGTAGAAGATGGTCTATGCTTGGGCTTGGTCTTGAGGTCTTGACTCTGGAACCGAAGAATCCGAAGCGGAGACATTGCAGGGAGGGTGCAAATTCCGGTCATAGTTCATCCCTTAACATCCCTCGAAACTGGCGTGCAGCGTATAAAGGCTAACCCTCAAGTCATGGGCTCCCTAATTCTTGTGTCAAAGACATTACTGGACCATGGATCGCACTCAAACAAAAGCTGACATAAATGCTCGAAAAGATTCGAATTGTACATTATCACAACCTCCCCTTGTGCCATTTTTACGGCATGGCTTGACTCGAGGACTCTTCGATTGAGACTCAAACCAATTGGTTTCACTATGCTTCACTCTTCTCATTCCCAAGGGCCGTCCACCCCTAGTAGGGAGCCTCTAGTAGCGTCTTGTTACTAGTAGCGATGCCAGGAGCTACTAGTAGCGATGCCCTTTGCTCCTAGTCGTGATGCCAGGAGCCTTCTCATGCCAAGCGACCCTTTTGGCCTTGGGCTTCTTCGCACGCTCTCTCTTTGGCCGCTCACCCACACACGCCGCCGACCCACCGACCGGTGAGACCGGCACCGTCTCACCGCTCTCGCGGCGCGCACCGCGAGACGGTGAAAGAGTCAGGGTGAGGCTGTAGCAGCAAAGAGTCAGGGCACAGCCGCCGGCAGCAAAGCCGACCTGAGAAATGCTCTTAAAGCATCTGAAAGCTAAAATCCTGGTGGTATATATATATATAGTTGTGGGATGTTGTGGGCGGTTTGAAGAGACTTGCAGCCTCACAACACCTGGCCTTTCAAAACACCTATGTATACATATGTTTCAACCTATGTATATGTCAGCGATGCTGAAAGGGCTGAGATGTTACTACTAGTAAGGCACTTGTTACCAGCAGCGAGGCACTTGTTACTAGTAGCGATGCTGTGATTTGAACGTTTTGAAAGTGCTTTTTCTGGTTTGGAACTTCAGTGCGAGTCTTAATGCTTCGTGGCAGTCCACCCCAAAAGCTGACTACTAAACCTTCAGGCCCATATAATCCAACAATAGCCAACATGCAATCGTATGCAGCATGAGGATGTGTTAGCTAGGGTGCTTGGATGTTCCAACCATGAACATCCTGCACGGTGTCTTCACCTCTGAAAAGGGCATCTAATATGATGGCCACCATCCCCCTTCAAAGCTTGTTCAAAGCACATTGCCTCACCGAGCAGCCACCAGCGGCAGTATCAATTCCGACACCCACACCGCCGCATGCGTCGCGACATCACTCGTGGTGGTCGTGGCAGTGGTGCCACTTGGCACTGGTGCTGGGTGGGTAGCAAAGACGCGGGCGACCACCTAGGAGAACGAGGCAAGTAATAGAGTCTTGTTTGAACCTGTGGATTCTATAGCTTGCAGCCTGCAGGGGCTTGTAAATTCTGAATTGCTGCAGTTTGGGCAGCATTTGGCAAGCCGGCATGTCAAGCTTGGCATTGAAGGATGCCAATGTCTGAAACCTGAACCTGAGTATGAAACAAACACCAAAGCCGATCTGCACCAAAGCCACACAAGGCGCTCTGGACTCCGTGCACGACGGCGCCAGTCGTAGGATCTGCTCTACGGAGCAGTCTCCATCCGTCGACGTCGACGTTGTACGCCGCTCGTCGTTGCAGGCGGCGCAGTGGGCGGCGCAGCAGGCGCGGCTGCGGCTGTGGAAGAGGCCAAAGTGGCAAGCGGGATCGCTCGCGTAGGGCTTCCTGAAACATCAACTGCGATCCCAAAAGGGGATTTGGAACACGGGTGAAGCTCTACTTACTCTACTCTACTTGATCTTGGACCGGCCATCAATCCTACCTTCCGCTTCCGCTGAACAAATGACCGACAGGAGCTTTGGCTGTGTTCGCCTTAGTTGAATGACATTCCGGTTGCATCTCAAAACAGTCCAAGTTGCAGGCACGCCAGCATGCTGTGATTCTGCGGGCCAATTCTTTGACAGGTCCCACTCTCAATGATGCCGCCAGCTGCCGAGAATGAGCAATTTTGGCCCTGGCCAAGCGGCGATTGGACATTCTTGTGGGACCTCGCAGAACAACTAGTAACTAGTAGCAAGAAGCTAGTAACAGGTGCATCGCTACTAGAAACAAGAAGCTACTAGTAGCAAAGGGCATTGCTAGTAGTAGCTCCTCTCCTAGTAACAAGGGCATCGCTAATAGTAGCAACAAGCTACTAGTAAAATCCACAGAAGTCTGAAACGAAACTAGTCGAATACGTCAAAATATACCCTAGGGCTCCCGGTGGCTCTCTTCTGGGCTGAAACAAGCAAACATGGGTGATCCTCAATAACAGCCGGACCGGAGAGGAATCTGTGAGGAAAACCCTGCTGTGCTCGCAACGGACTCCCTTCCTTCCAACTTCCCTCCCTCCCTCCCTCCCTCCCTCCTCTGGCTGCTGGATACATGCATCGATTTCCCTTTGTGCGCTCACCGCGTACAACGAGGTGCACATGGCAAGGAGCACCCTCATGCGAGTGCCCCCGGCGGCGCATGGTGACGCCCAGGGGCGGGGCCATGTGATGTCCGGCGAGTCACCTCCAAGTCAGGTGGACCCATCACTGAGATTGATGCTAGCCAGTCGAGGTTGAAGACCTTCTTAAGAACCAAAAATGATGGAACCGTGTCAAGTAGCCTTGATAGCAACCTACGTCACCCACACCTCTTGGTTGTTTGCTGAGGGAGACATCAACCCTTGAATGCGGAAGTTCATTGATGGAAGAAAGTTGTAGACATCTGCCAACGAAAATCCAGCTTCAAGAGCAAGTTAATATCTTAAGAATCACTCAGATGATTTAGGATGATTTAGGGTTCGTTGCGTGTGAAGAGTGGTGCCGTACGTAGTGTCTAATCTGAGGCTCAAGTCCTCCATCTGATTCTGAGGCTAAGGTCCGTGGTTCGTTGTAATGGTCTTCTGCTACTCACTGCGTTCAGCGCTACATGACCAGTGCAAACGAATTCTGCTGTCTGAGAAATGATCAAGCGCCAAGGACAAAGGTATGATCTCAAAGATTCCGTCAATCAAGACCTCTTGGAAGCTGCATGGGGTTTTAAGGGTCACCGTATTCAATGAACCTGGCTTTTCAATTGTGCACTGTATTTTTGAGTGATTGTCACACAGCCTCATGAATGCGATGTTCTTTACAAAATGAGGACCTTGGACCTGCCTCATCTGTTCAATTGTTTGAGGCTGAGAACAGGAGGCCACCTGAAATAGACATATTTATATAACATATGTTTCTACTAGCTTCTTGTTACTACTATAAACATATTGTATGTGTCATAAACGTCCCCAAAGTACCGCACCGCAGAAATCAAAACGACGAAGTCGACCGAACTCCCAAAAACACCAAAACACCCATTCGAGACTTCCCGGAGAACCCGACTTCGACCACTGGTCGACAGACCAAAGGGATCGGTTTTGCGTGTTTTGATACATACACTCACCCCAAACAAGAATTAACAGTAAATTTAAACTATAACTAAATTCTATAGCTTCTTGTTACTACTAGCTTCTTGAACCCTCCCAAAACTACGCATGGATTCAACAAGAATGTATCTACTGTGTCTCCATGTTGCTCCTATCCATCGTTCCTATTCCTCTCCAGATATCCAATCTTTCCGGACCATTGTTTTTGCCGCCCGCAGACTTGCTTTTGGGTCTTGCGCCATAACGAGACTCAGGAATTGGCTCTGAGCACAGCCCCGGGGCGCGCGACGTCTTGCTGCGATTCTTTGTTTGTTCTATCTGCTTAAGGATGAGTTGGGGGGGGAAGTTCTCTAAGAATCTGAAGAGTTCCCAAGTTCGCAGAGGAGGACCTGAAGACCTTCAACTATCATTGGGGACCTGAAACAGAGATATTCTCCTCACCACAATCCAAGGCGGAACAGGTAGCTTGGGGAGCCGTCAGAAGATGTTGAAAGCATGTTGATGGTGTTTGATGGACCTACAGCCTACAGTGATGTTCATTCGGTCTTTCCATCAGAAGCTCGGTAGCCTTCAGAACACTGAGTTCAGTAAACCTTTAAAAGTCCAATGAGCCAACCCTCATCTCCAGTAGCCTTGAAGGAAGATGACGGTGGTTTGGGCACTTCACTAGACATACACTCCCTGAAATAAGCGTGGATGATCATGCATGGCATGCCCGAGTTCGGATGAGGAATTATTTTCCTTTGCCAAAGAGCACTTCCATGGATAAATCCAGGGAATGTCGTGTTTTCGTGCGTCCTTTCTTCAGCCTCTTAAGAGTTGGTATGAGTTATCCGAAGGGTTGCCGGTCTCACTATTTTGCCTCCAAAAACGGAAAACATCAATCAATACATGGAAGCTCCCAACGCACTGTGGGTCTTGACCCTACATCTTTCGAACCATAATCATAGCTTTATCCTTGTGGAACTCCTTGTCGATTTACCTGAGCTCCCATGCCGCGTCTGCCCCTGCTGCACTCGCTGCCATCCTACCTACACCGTCTGTCCCTGTGGCTGCTTGATTTTGGTTGATGAAGGGCACATAGCTTTTGCAATGTTCTCGTCGATATATTTGCAATAAATAGTCTGACAACACCTTGGAGTGAGCAGGATTTACTCTTTCCTGCAAATTGTTGTTCCGTTGCAGCAAGAAAGCAATTATCAAATTACATGTAACTAAAATTCATCTAGTCTTCTGCGAGCTGTCCCAAATGTGAAATTTCGCACTTGCTTCTTCCACTCCATGTATGGCATACATCGGCAGCAAATTTTCCATGCATGGAGTGCATTGGTTTAGGCCTTCATACGTGACCTAGTGTCTGAAGAACATCATTTTGCTTTGCCCTAAAGAAAGACCTATAGGCGAAAGCATCAGGTTCTGTGTCTTTTTGGAATCACTTGGCTTTGGAGGCTTGTAGTACCCCGACCACCCTCCCAGAAAGGAACCCAAAACTCAAAGGAACATGGCTGACTCCACCCAAAAAGACAAAGAACCTGCTATAGGTTTTGGAAGACACTCGGTCTTGACTCTTCACCCACCACAACACAAGGACCCAACCTCTTTCGCTCGGAGTGGCGGGCCCAGAATCGTCTGGACCGGCCGTCAGGTCGGTGCCGACTTCATCATCGCCGTTTGCGGCAAGGTCTCCACGTCCACGCTGGCCATCATCCTGAAGTGCGACCGGTCTCCACGGGTTTGCTTGCCTAGTAGCTGAATGCAAAAGAACATATACGTGTACCAAGCATCTCATCAGACTTCTGCCGCCAGTCCGGGTCGTTTTTGAAGCCTCCCAAGAAGGCACGTGCATGGCGCCGGGGGGACGGGCACGATGCTTAAAGAAAGGTGTGAGATCTGGGATGAGACACCACCCGGCCTGTTTCGCATGCTTCTTGGATCATTCCATGGGATCATGGAATCCAGAAAATGCTTCATGAGTCTAGTCTAGAAAACACCTCATTCGACATCTTTCCACAGCCACATCTTTCGCGATGGCCTCTCCAACCTAGTAGCAAACATTGCTACTAGTAGCGATTGCCTCGACTTGACGCATCCATCCGGACATCCCTCCGTCAAGGCACCAAAGCTGGGATGCCAAAAGTTCGCCAAGAGGACGACCCGATCACCTGCAAGCTTCGGTCAGCTGAGTTTCCCTACTCTAGGAACCAGGCGGCGGGGGGCAGCTTCCTTGAAGAAGCGTGAGCTATCCTGCGTCCTGTCAGTAGTAGCTACTTGTTAGCTACTAGCTATCTGGAGTTTTGAGCAAGCGGACATGTAGGAATTTGGGGGGGAGTTCATGAGGTTGTGTCGGGTCTTACTACTAGGCTTAGGTTTCACTTGGAGAACTCTTACGTCGTCAAGAAGAATTCTACAAACCACTAAGGGATTTATGTGGGTTTCTAGTTACTTCCCAAGTGGTGCAGCTCTCATGCCAATCTTTCTCGGGCGTTAAACCCATCTTGTCATTGGGTTAGATGATGTTAGATGAAATCTCTTCCTGCTCACAACACGGCACATTGAGATCATTCTCACGAGACTAACCCAAAGAAGACATTGTTTTTGGTCTCCCAATTGAGGTTGGAAACAGGATATCCACTGCCCATGCTGACCACGCTTATGGCAAATTCAGGGTTTCTCATCACACGACGACAGGTCCAAACATCTTTGCCACCAGCGCTGGCAGGCACCAACGACCACTTCGGTAGATGGTTCCACTACAAACAGGTGGTTTATGGTGGTGAACTCCAGTTCTATAGATGATTCCAGGGAGTGTACAAGCAGCGCCAACAAGTGGTTCTTTTTGGGGCCAACCAATTTCCGTTTTTACCTCCCAAGCGGTGGAACGTTTTGCATTTCCATGTCGCCACAGTAGGCTTCTGAAGGACCGCATTCCGCGAAAACCACCTGAGCGGTCTCAGATTTCCGGTGCACTGCTCGGGCCGAAGGGTGGGGGGAGACGTTTAGTCGGGGACTCCTTTTCGTGATTCTTTCTTAAGGAAATGGTTGGATATGCATTGGATATGCATTGGATATGTTTATTCTGGCTTGTTGGAGCATTTGTGACACCGACCATTCCTTGGCAGAAAAAACCCTGTGAGAGGCGTGGCCACCCTAGTGAGATGATCCTACACCTCCCTTCCTCATGCTAACCCTTCCCATTCGAGTCGCACGACCCCTGACGTCAGTACTCAAGGTTATCCTCAAAACTGAAAACCGAGACGGCAAGCCGACTGATCTTCCAAGGAGCGTTTTAATATAGTGGCGTATATTCTTGTTTATATTTTTTCGACCAACTGATCTAAAGTCTCGAAATAGCTCCTTCAGGAGTATTGCAAGAACAAGGGTTCCCCGAAAAACAAAGAAGAAGTTATATAAATAACAGATACCTCCAACCAGCAGACACCACCACGACTCAGCTTTCTTGGCTCGACCCACCTCGTGCTCGAAGGAGTCATCGAAAACAAGGCATTTCCCTTCCTGGCCGAGTTTTGCAGAGCAGTCTGACCAGTTTGCCTTTTCTATTCTTTTTCACATGTGAGATCCAGCTCTTCGAAGGCTTCTGTTCTTGCCGGACAACGCATGACCAAAGAACAAAAACCGCGGATGACATGGGTCAATGATCGTGAATTGATGCCAGTTGCTTCTTTCCGAACAATGCCAAACGCACCCACCGGGTGGTGCCACTGCGCGACTGGTGAAAAACCGCCACCGCTACCGCGCCGGGTGCGAGCGCCCGTGGGGCCTCCCATCCTCGTCGCGCTTCGGAGCCCACGCGGAGGTAGCAGCCCTGATCGCAGCTCTTCGGGACCTGAACCACGCCGGTCGAGACATGTGAGGGCAACCAGACATGTTTCCGCAAACATCGGTTGCACAGCGGTTCCAGAAAAGAGATCCAAACATGCATGTGCTCTGAACATATACCAAAATCATCCAAGACATTCACAGTCTTTGCATGTCTTGACAGCCAAGGGAGTTCTTTTTATGTGTCCCAAAAAAAGGGTTTGGGTTCATGCTCTGTACCCATCGGTGCAGATTCTTGAAGCGCCAAGCCACCCGTATGGCCAAATGGCAGGTCAGCCGGGCGTTGCTGGGACCGCAGTGAGGTCTCAGGCGAGTACCCGGGGTCAAGACGCCTTGGCAACTGAGTTGGCTGTGCGTCATGAAGGCACTGCGATACGAACTAACTATCATGTTACCCTGTTTCTGGGTCCATGTTCAATGAGGTTTCTGCCAACATATGCATTCAAGAGTATTTAAGTATCAATTAATTGAAGCGATTAGTAGTAAGTACTTATTATGCGTCTGTAACTCTAACTATAGTATGAATGGAACAGTTCACCTGGGGATGCTCATTTACCGGCAGTCATTAGCTTATATAGGAGGTCTCATTGAACAAGTATTTGTTCAACCAGTCTGTTGAGACATGTGGTCAAACCCCCATGAAACTTAGAACACCACAGCACCACAAAAGTACAGGATCCAAGAGGTGTCTTTCGCTCCGACTGAAGCTTGCCACCCAGCATCTCATACTAATCACAACTTACTACTAGTAGCAAGAAGCTACTAGCTAGGAGGCCATCGCTAGTAGGGGGAGGTAACAAGAAGCTGCTAGGACCCTAGGAGCTAGGCACCTTAATGCACCTTACAACTTAACCCTTGCCAAAGCGCTGAAGATCACGTCGCCGCCTCCACAAAAGGCCAAGCCGGTGGCATCGGCACAGGACTGCTGGAGGATCCGGGTGGTCTCTGGGAAGAGGTCCTCGATGCATGTCGTGGCTGGAGGTCATCAAACGGAGGCTGTTCAGTTTCGGTGTAGGGCCGACTGACAAGATGAGACATGAAGGGGACTGAACAAGCGGTAGGTTTCAAGAACAACCTTAGAAACATGAGATGAGGGACATGAGCAAAATTACTTCATCAGGAATGAAGGTGGTAGGTCTCATTATCCTTTTCAGAATTCATGCACATGGCTGACATGGCTTTGGAATGCTCTCCAAGCTAAAGGCGCTTCAGGATGTCATCCAAACAGCGCCCGAAGTCGTGGTGGACACGGAATCACGAGTGAATCTGGCAGGTTGAGTAGAACTGACCATCCAGGCAAAGCTCTTTGTGATTGATGTTCTCCGGGGTTTCAAGCAAAAACATCCTAGTATGTGTCGACATCCCAAGTTTGCAGATCAAATGCAAGAGGGAACCCTCTTGAACGCCCCAGCAGAGCAACCTCGAAAGGCTCCCAGAAAGGAAGCCAAACCTCTCACGAAATCTGCAGAACAAAAATGTGTCTTTCCTGATGAGATGCTCATGACGACAAGAACCGCCGTGACGCTTTGGAGGCAGTGAAACATAGCTCTCCGCCAGCTTGCGGTGAAAAACATGCAAAAGGACGCTGTTCGATGAGTTCGTCATAGTTAATCCATGTTCATCCACCTGTCCAAGAGCGTTGCCTTCATCTTTTTCAAAAACTCATTCCATCGCTAGTAGTAACAAGTGCCTTACTAGTAGTAACAAGAAGCTATTAGAAACAAGTGCCACGCTACTAGTAACAAGTGCATCGCTAGTAGTAACAAGAGGCACCTGTACTCCCCGCAGCGTCCGAGGTGCCGTGTACTCCCGCTGGATGGTGCAGTTCGTGAAGAGAGGCACCTGCAAAAGCCCCTCGGGCGACTCCCAGTGCCTTCTCTCGGCGCGGTTGAAACCATCCATCAGTTCAGTGCCCCGTGCTCACTGTGCTGAGTGAGCCTATAGTCACTTCTTTCTTGGGCTCAGTGCGTCAATCCCCCGCCTCATTGGTCTTGATTTGTCTTTATTCTATTTGCTTTAAGCCAGCTTCCTGTAGGTCCCGCAGTTGGCGCATGACCCAAATCAGAATGAATAAATATTGGCAGAGATTGTGAAACGACCGCCAAACCACAGGGCCAACGTTGTCATGTTGGACCAACTCAGCAGAAGCAAGTTGTTTTGCTCAGCGGCTTCATGAACTCCTTTCTTGCACTCTTGTGAAAGTGCTCGAACTGCCACATTTTACACATACAATCTTCACTAGCTAGGAGTATCAAGGACCAACCAAAACTCTGATGGGCTATCCACCTCTTCCCTGATGATGCTTCGCAAAGCTTAGGATTCGTCCCCAAATTGAAGGAACACCACCAACCAAATCCTGGAGGCCATCGCTACTGGGTTTCTTTCGCGGCCAAAAACTTTTGAGCCCCAGCCATGCCAGACTCAATACGGCCATTTTCCTTTCCTTCAAGACAATCTTTGGCACCCTAAGAAAAAGACATACGAATTATAAAAAGCAAAATGATATATGAAAAACATATAAAGAAGCAACAAAAACACACAAAATAAACATCCCATGTTCTTTTTTGAGGGCAGGACTGACCTTTGCTGGACTTGGCGGCAACAAGACCTGGACTCCGTTGACGCCTCCTGCCACTTTCCCGACTTTCGTAGACCGCCGTCATGGAGCGCCCCTGGGCGGTTTCCCACGTCTCCTGGCATGAGGGCGGCGGGTGGAAAAAAAGGCGTGGAAAACCCCCAACACACATCCCTCAGTTTTTGCACTCACAATGGCCTCCAACCTAAAAGCGATGGCCTCAAACTTCACCCTCCAAAAAACGCCCCCCCGACGCCCTCCGCCCGTGCTCGCGCAGCGCACCTAGCCCTGGCGTGGTGTCGGACTCGTCCCAGTCTTTCCGACTCGCCAGCTTCGCTCGATAGGCCTTTCTCGCTCCGTCCGGTCGCCGTTCGTTTTCTCTAACTAATAGCTTCTAGCTTCTTGTTACTACTAGTAAGGCACTTGGTACGAGTAGCGATGCACTTGTTACTAGAAGTTTTTACCGAACCAACGAAATCGATTTGCTGATGGTCCGCCTATCGTGTTTTCATGGCTGCAAACATGAAAGAAACTGGAACATCCTGGTGTCGTTAGCGGCCTGGAAAGCAGCACCCAGTGCACTCGTGTACTACAAATAGAAGTGTACTACACTACAAAGATAGATCTCGATCGGATGAGCGAACAATTCTGGATTTTGGAATGTCATCCGGAGGTCATATGTTGTCTGAATCTTGTCGAACAATATTGCATATATCTGCAAACTCAAAGCTTATTGAGGTTTCCAAGTGCTTCCAACTAACTAACCTCTGCAAACATCTCCCGAACACCTTTAAAATCAATGCACCCAATAAACCACGTTCTGGATGCCTCGTACTCCCCGCGGATGGTGGGGAAGTTGGCCTCCAAAGCCTCAGGAGAGAAGCACTGCAGCGAAGCCAAGTCCGAACAGGATGCAAACTGCCACGAGAATGCCCGGGACGGTGTTTCACTAGGATGGAGGCCATCATGGTTTCACCTTCTCCGCGGCACATAAACCTGGTAGATGGCCCTCCACTTCGAAACCTGGCAGATGTATGATGGACGGAATCACGGCCCACCCTGGGGCCGCAAACACTGGTTTTGGATCTTGAAACAGGTCACTAGCACAGTCCAAGCGCTGGGCAATCTGGTCATTGAAATCTGAACTTTCCAAACTAAGATTTACTACCTCGGACCTGTGTCGGTGGGATGGCTTGGGGGTGTACAGGGGACCTGACAGTGTGTCCTTTCGAAATCAATCCTTTGGTTGGAAGGTCTTGGTGGAAATAGACTCCAAAACAATCCAAAACATGCAGAATACACCCTGAAACAAATGAACCTTGCCACTGAACCTGACCTGCTGAAATCATTCGCGCGCTCACCCAACTTCTTCACAAAGTCCTCCTACTGCGACCCCATCACCTTGGACACCTTCGACCCACACCCGTCCACCCACACAGACCGATCAAGCGACGAAGCAACGGGTCAACCGACCAACTGACCAACTCTTCCGCTCTTGGGCTTCGGTCTCAAGCCCAAGCTCGCCCAAGCAGGGCTGTCTTTAAGATTCCAAGAAGTTCCTCCATCACCATGCCCAAACACACCCAAACACTCCATTGTTATTTACCTACATTTACCCCTCTACCACTCCAACGTAGCCTTACACTTCAACCAAAGAGTCCATACACGGAGTGTCGATCTGCAGCTGTTCTTTGTTTTTGCCCAAGTGGCGCGTGACAATTCGAAGTCCTTGCTCTCATGGAAGGGCTTCCTGAGAAAGTGTCAGTGTTGGATCGAAGAAGAAAGTCCAAACAACCAAGACCTTCAGGTTTTTGGGATGGATCCAAACCAAGGCTCTGACCTGGGAAACATACGACTGCTACAAACCGGATCTCCCAAAGGATGGAAATGGACTGGCCGGCCACCTGGAGACCGCATTTCCACCTTAGTGAGCCAGACTCTACCCATATATGTGATTTGGTGAGGTTTATCTTTTTGCACTTGGATCTTTCAGCTCGATCCTCTTTGCCTCCGCCCAGAAGGGACGGCAGGGTTGACCCGATCGAATCCAACGAGCAAAAGACATCACCGTTGTTCCGTAGCTGAACATCGTCCACTTTTTCTTTGGTGACCCTACGGTCACCTAGGGTATGGACCTCACTCGATTTCATGACACTTTTTTGCAAACGGAAAACCCTCACTAGTAGTAACAAGTGCCTCACTAGTAGTAACAAGTGCCTTACTAGTTGTAACAAGGACGCTACTAGGAACAAGTGCATCGCTACTAGTAACAAGTGCCCAAAAACATCTCATAACCAAGGTGGAGAACCCAGGCCCTGCCCAGACCCCAGCTCTTCGATCTGTGGTGGACTCCGAACTTCACCGTTTTCGGGTTGCGTCCCCCCCAAAAAATAGACATACTATTAAAGATCTTGACCTTTTAAGTGGGGCATTCGCGAGACCTTCACGTGGCTTAAAATAGCTCAATTTGCTTTCATTTGGTGATTGGTCACTGGTGGGAGAAGCTCCTGGCAAGAGAACGGGCATATTCAAAAAGGAGCTTTCACCATGTATTTTCTTTGTAGATCTTCAGAACCTCCAGCTGGTCTTTTTGATTCTTTTTGGCTAATCTGTTTTTTCTTTGCAAATCTTGTTCTGTGAATGTGTTTATCCTTGCTCAAGTTGCACTTGCAGCGTGGTCACCCTGCTCCCGTTCCCAATACATCCCCTCCATTCGAGTCACGCAGGGAGGGAAGGAACAAAATGGGGCGGCCGCTGCCACTTGGTGTACCAAATGCCATTCTTCACCTCGAGTCTCCGATTCCGTGAACCGTTGCGACGGACGAGCGCGAGGGGTTGAGAAGCGGGGAGAGCTAAGGCTGCTAAGCCGGCCCCAAGGTTGGGAGGGAATTCCGATTGCAAAATTGACAAACTCCATCCCATATCTCGGAGAGTTCTCCTTTCTTCAAGGCCCTACACCCCGTTTGATGATAGTGCCTATGCACATGCTGAAGACTCAGTTTTTGTTGATTGCCTCTGTTTTGGATCAGTTCAAGGGGTAGTTCTTTCCTGAACAGCTAGTTTTCAAATAAAGAAAGTCCAGCCATGTCCAGCTGATCATTGTGATCAACCCCAGAACGAGAGCAATCCCTGGTCGCAGCAGGTCTTCCTTGGTTTTCGAGCGCAGCTTTCTATGTGCAGCAGAAGCTGCGGGCAGAAAGACCTGCGCGCACTTCAAGGGCAGCATGTACAGTTGGCCAGCGATGCAGTTTTGGACCAATCACTCCGGCGACAACCTGTCGTTCTTGCCGTCCCGTCCCTCGTCCCTCCCATTCCGAGAAACCGCCGCAATGGCCAGTTCGTGCACGTCCTCATACCAATTGGCCGGCCTCGCATCAAGTAGAGTCTGGGGACACACCAGTGATACCGGTTGGTCCAACGAGAGGTGTTTGCTCTTTCATCCAGCCTTTTGGTGTTTGGATGTAATTACTTGGAGTGCCTGATGAAGTCGCAGTTGGTGTATTGGCCACCACGTGATGGGCTGAAACAACGCTCATCAGAACCTGCATCGTTTCAGTCGTGTTAATGTTACACGTTTGTTCTACAATGCGAGGGATTTCGACATCCTACACCCGACCCTTATAGGTTGGATGTAAACAAGAATTAGAAATCTCATGCTGGCATCTGAATGTCCAATCCGCTGTCTTTGTTGATTAATCTCCAACATCGAACTTGAAACGTGCACACTCTCAAAGGATCTATCAGGCTGGAGGCCATCGCTATTAGGTGTGTTTTCTTTGACTTGTTTCTATTCCAGCTGGGAGGATCACTACTACACCGATCCCTACCCTCCGATTGACAGAGCACACGAACCCAGCTCTGTCGAAACAGCCCATGGCTGAGGGGGTTCGTGTCTTCCTCTCTTACCACAAGCACTTTGAGTCATATGGACACCAATGGTTGTATTCATCCCACTGTCTCCCTGTAGATGATGACTGCTCCTATTTTTAGGCTCATCTCCACCCTGTAACCAAACATACCACAAACAAAACTCCCGCTTCATCCCACCGAATCCCTTTTCTTCTCACCCAAACCAAGCACCCTCCATCAGCCTCCGCTGATCTTGGTGCCCGGGCTCGTTCCTCTCAAGACTGCCGATGAGGTTGATGTACGCCGGCCGTTGCTTCGGATCTACCTTGAGCGATCTCCGGTAGTAGCCTGCAGGGAGCGCTGGGCTAAGTGGCCTCTGGACAATAAAGGCAAAACGCTGTAGATTTGATTTTGAGAGACCACCTGAAAATGTGGCCAAGACATGGTAGAGAATCCCCTTTACTGGATCATGCACTCGCCACGCACCAACACTATCCCAGTTTTCATGGCGTAGGTGTAGGGCCAGTAGACCAACTGGCACATGACCAACTGGCACGCTAATGTCAAACCGAAGAAAGCGCTGATTGTTCCAATTCTAATTCTTGTTCCTAATAGCTTCTTGCTCCTAGTAGTAAGGCCAGGAGCCCCGTTCGTAGCGTCCGATCGCTCCTAGTAGCGATGCCCTTGTTCCTAGTAGTGTTCTCTACCATAGTCATCATTCAGAGTTGGGGGTTCTGGTCACAGCTCACCTGAAGATACGCATCGGAATGTATTTTCTCCCTCTCGATCAACACTTAGCTTGTGAGGGATCACTGAGCAAGAACCGAACCGTTCGATCGAAACGAGATGGAACATGTTGGACTTCAATCACATCTTCAACATGTTGACTATGGATTGATGTTGATTTGGCTTGTTTGACTTCGATCACTTCCTTCTTTTTGATCCATCAACGGATATCACGCGTCTACAAGAAATCTTCACTAAGTCACTATGCAGTCATAAAAACAACTAAGTGCAGCATCTTCATCCCAATTTGGACCGTGCCGTGATGTGGCTGTCGGTCTTTCCACATGTCACCAAGGCACTGATGGCCGCGCGTGAGAACAAGGAGCAGTACTGCTCTACAGGGATGATCCTCAGCTCTACAGGGATGATCCTCAGATCTTTCTCATCCAATCTTATTGTACCTGGACCATCCAATGGGCATTCCAAGGAAAACATCTCTAAGTAGTGTAGGGTAGTCCATTGGCCATTGGACACCCATTGGATGGTCCTGATAGGAGTGGGACGTTGTGGACGGAAGTTTCCATTCATCTGGATGTTCTGCACACCAATCTTGGAGTGTCTTGGACGCGATGGCATGCACTCTGCAAGAAAACTATTTACTATGTATTATCTATCTTTAGTGTCTGGCGTCCCACAGAATTTCTCGTCCTTTCTGTTTCCAAACATCATTTCACAAAAAGAACACATTTCGGGAGCTCTACGGCAGGTTCGCATGCAAAGGATCACCACGTTCGTCCCTTTCGGGGCACGCGCCGAGCTGTTCATCGAGCGCTTTATCGCCAAGGCGCTTCGCCTGTGATGGCTCCAGAGCTGGCAACTTCGCAGTGCTGGCACCCCCGAACTTCACCTTGTCGCACCTGGAAGAGCAACAAGGTGCGAAGCTGTCCAAGCGAAAATCCAGATATGAGCCGTGTTTTTTCTTCCTTTTAGAGCGAATTATAGCTAATTAGAGTGCCTGCTATACATGTTTGGTGAGTTGCAGTCTAATCTAAGTTTTCTCATTAGTTTAAAGAGACTACACTCATATGGGGGAAACATCACCCAAGCAAGCCAAGGGGGAACATCGGAGGATGGACAATAAGAAGCGCGGCTGAAATGGGAGGAGGAACTTGGGCGAAGTGGAAGGTTTTTCGACCCCTTGTAATTCAAGGACGCAATTGCTACTAAGAAGACTTAGAAATCAAACGGATCTGCTTTCTCCTCTGTCGGGTCACCGGCTTAACAAAATCCGTTTGCTTGCGAAGTTGGAGAAACACTTCGTTCGAAAGGGACTGGCCACAGAGTTAGCAGCGGAGGTGTTTCCGTGTTTTTCCTGACCCGTTTCTGCACACCGCCCTCGCTGTCTTTGAGATTGCCCTTAGGACCTAGAATGCACTTGATTCAAAGAACCTGATGCCTGATGCTGTACGCGCTCTTGGTATCTCTCAGGTGTACTCCCTTGCTCCCTTGTCAAACCGTCAGGTCTCGCGCTCACACTGCTCTGGGCACATCTTGTTCAAGAGCACACCCTGGTTGTAGTAGGCGTCCGCATCCTGAAGGCACGCGGACGTGCGGCACACTGTTGGTTCGACCCCGCGGTGCCAGCCCGCGCGGCGCGGTCTTCACAGAAAAGAGATGGGAGAGCGTGGGAGAGTCTTCATCTTAAGTAAAGCTTAAGCTATATCCGAAACCAGGAGCCCCGTTCCTAGCGTCCTTGCTCCTGGTAGTATGGCCAGGAGCCCCTACTAGCTTCTTTGTTACTATCCGAAACCACACAACTACCAAAACCCTAAACTAATACGGAAAATGGAACGGGAAGACAAAGAGTGGCACTTGTGTGGATTAGTGTAGAAATGTATAGGTCACCTGCAATTCAAAAAAACACAAAACACATGTCGAGAACTTCCCCATGTCCGGAATACCCGGGGTGACTCAGCAAAAACGTCCTTGCGGGCAAACTCCAAGGATGTTTTCTCAGGGAAGCAGGTGATGAAGCATGTTTAATTTAGAGTACACAACATTATATAGAACGTTCAAAATAAATAATGGTCCCAGTTGCAAACCATAGAAATTCTACACGCTTTGTTGTTTTCTTCAGCTCGTTTCTTTATTCCAAAACAATACAATCAAAAACTCGTGCGCAGTGCATCCACCCCGCCGTGGACCCACTCCAACCTCTTTCGCCCCGAACGTTCCGAGGCTCCTAGTAGCGTCCGATCGCTCCCGTTCGTAGCGATGCCCTTCGTTACTAGTAGCTTCCTTGCTCCTAGCAGTACGGCCAGGAGCCCCGTTCGTAGCGTCCTTGCTCCTAGTAGCGATGCCCTTTGTTACTTGTAGCGTCCCGTTCATAGGGTTCCAAGGCTCGGGAAAGCGGAGGATGCAAAGGATGGACCACATCCGTGCTTCGTCCTCGCGGCTTTCGGCCTCCAGCTTTCGGGTGAGGCCTCAGGGTCGGAGGCGGAGGAGTCGGCCAAGATGGTGGAGGAGTCGGAGGGGTCACTGGCGGCGGGGCCAATTTTGATCCATTTTAGCTGGCAGTGTGGTTGGAGTTCGTTCTGGTGCTGGGGGGAAGGAACATACGGGACATGCCTTTCAATGAGTGAATCCATGTGATGTCTAGAACGTTGCTGAACATTGTGGGAGATCGACTCATGAACCGACACCTCTCAGTCCATTGTCGTTCATAGTTTTGGAAGACTTGGGAGCCACCCAGATCATCACAGGGGTCTCAGGGGTCTTGAGAGGCGCCCGTTTCGGTCCTTGTCTGACACAGGTCCAAAGGTCCAAAGCATGGTAGACGTTCAAACAACTCCCACACTCCCACGCCGAGGGGCTATAAGTCTTGCCCTTCCACTCCTTAGGATCCAATCCTGAGGGTGACAGATTTCTCGTGACAAAGCCGTCACGTAGTTTGCCATGTGAGTTCAGATTCACTTGGGGGTCGAGTTTGTTTTCGAGAATCTATGATCAGTGTCGCTCTGACTGAGGCAAGTGCTAAAGCAAGCATCCTAAGACCTAACATCTTGGATCTCCTGTATTGCCACATGCGGAACTCAAAGTGCTACCGCATGCGGAGTTCAAATTGACTTCCTTGAGACCTCAACACTGAACACTCAGAATGTGTCCAACTTGTCCAGAACACCTCCCCTTCAAAGTGCGATTTCATTTTGAACTAGTAGCGATGCCCTTGTTCCTAGTAGCTTCTTGTTCCTAGTAGT